CGAGACACAGAATCCGAAGCAGGCTCCAGGCTCCGAGCTGTCCGCACAGAGCCCGACACGGGACTTGAACCCGCGAGCCTCAAAATCATGACCTGAGCCGAAGTGGGACGTTTAACCGACTGAGCCACCCAGGCGCCCCTCCATTCAGTTTTCTCCTCTCTACATTCAATTACCTCAACTCCTTTAGCTGGGTTAATATCATCTCCAATGAGACTTATAATCGACACTCGTAAGCAATTAATTATCAATATGTATTTCAATCACGCCCCTTCCACGTTCAGATGCCAAAGCATTAGTCGTTTGTGGCTTTCCCCAAGCTACCACTCATTTTCAGTTTGTGCTCATTCTGCCCCATTCCAAGATCCTCCTATGCCAAACCTGGGGTCATTCTGGGCATTCTTCATTTTTTCAGCTTAATTAATTTGAAGGTCACCTGAGTTTTATTGCGGGGAAATTAACAACGATCCACGGATAATGTGAAAACGTTTTAAGGACAAGCTTTAAAATAATTAGCAATTTGTCATTCCATAAGGCTAGACCACACCAAATAAATCTGTGTTTTACAGCATAATGATCATCTTTAAAGAACAAAGTGTCTTGAAATAGTTGTTACTGGGCATTAATTAGCGTATACAGGAATTATAAGATAAAACGCGAAATTCACAAGGACAAGCCATTTTTAAAATCAGCCTCTCAGTTAGAAATTAAGTCTTCAAGGCACTTAACTTTCATCTATCACCATCATTGCTATATAGTCCTTGTAATGAACTGAATTCGATTCTGGATCAATTGCAGCAGACAACATTTCTTCCATTTCCTCCTGAGAGAAAGGCTCACCTGGGAAGGACAAGAAGGGAAATTCATCATTTACGATCCTCTGATCTTTTTCTTTCTCTTTCCGCCGACCAGCTTAATTGCCACGGAGCCCCCCAGGTCCCCGCCGTGTCGCTGGTTCCTCTCCCTGGGGCCCCGGAGCCAGCACATCATGACCATCCAGACACTCAAAGAGCAGGCAGTTGTACTCCTGGCCGACTTGGGACTTAGTCTGCCTTGCAGACATCATAGCTCAAGCGACCTATAACATCGATCACTCCAGCCAGAACAGCAGGAGAACATTAAGACCCCCCTGAATAAGGTTGCTTATTTATTTAAATTAAAACTATTGGAATTGCCTTCACCCGAAGGCTCACTTTTCTAGGGAGTTTAATCATTATATTGAGCAAGGCTGTGACGAAGGGATTAAACGGTCTCGATGCGAAATTGCTGAAGAGCCACTGACAGGGACGTGAAGTCTCTGAATACTCCCTGACCAGCTCGGCCAGCTTCGTGATGCCAGCTGAACCCACGGACAGATGCCACTCATCCTCCGGGTCAAAACGGTCCTCTCTGTTATAGTCTGGCCCAGCGTTGCTGTCATACGAAACCAAAAGTTACACAGAAAATCTGTGGATTTTGCTGGATCCAGGTAACAGCTGAGGGTCATCTTGGACCCTGATGCCACCAAGATGAGAAGCAAACCCGGGAGGAATGCCGGAAAGGTTGCCAACTACTTAAGAAAGAACTTTGTCCTGATATTAAGCAAAAATACAGAAACGTCCAAATCGCCACTTTCCCCCAAAAGACGCTTCTCTGAGCCGGTGAGTTACTAAGGCCTGAGGATCACTTATCTTCCGAGTTTTTCACCTGCCACGACACACGATGTTTTCCAGGTCGAAATTCAGCTAAAACCACAGAAATCATTCAAGTGGGGATCGTGAGGACAATGATAACAGATTATCAAACAGGGGCAATGTGTCAAGTTCTCGAAACCGTACTTACATCCTGAGAAAAGACAGAACGCTTATACAGCCTAACATCTTTCTTACACCTGATTAAATGGAAACTCCACTGCCAATGAACTCCGATGGGCACCGTGGAGGTCCTGCACAGAGCACTGGTAACAACCACGTGTTGAGACGCACGAAGTTAACCTCCCAAGCGCCTCACAAGACGAAAGGATGGCTGCCCCACTTACAGAAGAGGAACCGGCACACAGAGACGCGAGGCCACCCGCCCCGGCCAATGAGTGGCAGAGCTGGGATCTGGATGCCATAGTCCAGCTCAAGGTCCATGACCTCGAGGACTACACTCGACCGCTCAGAACACGGCGCTGTTCACAGTACAATCCAGAAGGCAGTCACGCCGCTTCCGTGGGCAAGGAAGGAGGTACACAGTGTTTGATTAAGGATAGGAACGGAATAGCTTAATGATTAAAAGCACAATCTTGCGGGGGCGCCTGGGTGGCTCAGTCGGTTAAGCGTCTGACTCTTGATTTCGATTCAGGTCATGATCTCCTGTGAGATCATGCCCTGCATCAGGCTCTATGCCGACAGCGTGCAGCCTGCTTGGGATTCTCTCTCTCTCTCTCTCTCTCTCTCTCTCTCTGTGTCTCTCAATGAATAAATAAACATTTTTTTTTTTTAAAGCACAATCTTGGGAGGCAGACAACCTGGGTTCAAATGCTTAGCTGTCTCATTAACTTTAAGATCCTGGGCGAATCACTTAAGCTCTCTGTGTCTCACTTTTCCTCCCTGCAAAATGGAGAAGATAATCACGGCAGCCATCTAATGCGGTTGTTATGAGGACTCAACATGTTATTATCTAACTAACACTTAGAACATTCTGGCACACAGGTGGCAACATGTATTTGTTGAAACAAAGTTTTGGAGACCTTCCCTGCTGCTAAATACTGTCTGACACCATCACACGCCTGGACGTCTTTCAGGAATTTGGTTCGCTGCGGCTTATCATGTGTTTCGTATGACATCCCGGGCAGCCAGAATGCATCTTCCCAACCTAATAGTCTGTGGATGTTGTGAAACATCCCCTTATCTCTGTGTCCGAGGCAGTCTGCTACTGATATCTCGGTGTCAGTCAACAGCATTCCCGTGACACCCATGATCTGAGTCAAGGCCCTGTTACTCCTGCCTCAGCTCCCACCTTTGTTCCCAACGTGCTGTTACTCATCGAGACCCACGGATCCTGCTGTAAACAGGCCTACTGTACCTCTCTCTCTTTTTGTTTCAGTTTATTTATTTTTGAGAGAGAGAGAGAGTGCCCGTGAGTGGGGGAGGGGCAGAGAGACGACACAGAAGATCCGAAGCGGGCTCTGTGATGACAGCACAGAACCCAACGCGGGGCTCGAACTCAAGAACCGTGAGATCATGACCTGAGCAGAAGTCGGACTCTTAACCGACTGAGCCACCCGGGGG